AAATCCGCATTTCTACCTTGAACATACTCGTGAGTCATTAATGCCATAAGAGCAGTGGGTCCAATTGTAATATCTTTGCATGAACCAAATACTATATATACCATAGCTCCCATAAATGCAGAATAAAGACCATACTATAGAAAAAATATATTTTCTATAAATTTGGAAATAAATTTATTCGTAAAAGATAATAAATAAGTTAAAAAATAAAATAAAATAAAAAATAAAATTTTTTCGTAAAAATATAATTCACCTGAGGTTCTAAACCAGCTAAGGTAGCATAAGCAAGTCCTTGCGGCATAACAGTAAGCCCGACTGTGATGCCAGCGATAGCATCATTCAAAAATTTTTCGGAATTATAATTTGATAACCATCCCACGATAGGTATTCGTTTTCTAATAAATTTATTTAATTGTCCACCTTTTGATTGCCATTTTTTGTTATTTATTGCATTGAAAGCCATTGTAAATTATGTACCTTTAAAAAAAATATAAAACCAAATAATCTATACATGAAGTAAATCTAAAAATAATGTTTAAAAGTTATAATTTTTACTTCGTGAAAAACTTAATTTTCAATAAAACACATAATAGATAATTACGCGCACTAATATATTTTAAATGCACAAAATATGGTGATAAGTTTCATAAAATATACATATAAGAAAAACTCATTTAAAACCTATTTAAATTTATGACATGTTCACATTTCACGATATATCGAGAAACTGAAAGAAACCGAAGGCTTTCGAGTGTTTATATAGTCAGATATAATGCAAAATTTATCATGACATAAAAATCGCTACTAGCCTTCGCTACTTTTTATATAATCAATAAAATGAATTGTTATTTCAAGAATAAAACAAGAATATATACATTAATGTTTCAACAATATAAAAAGTATGATAATGCAAATTTTTTGCAAAAACAGAATTATTTGAACATATAAAAATTATAAAAGTTTTCTGTAGAAATTCGAGAAAAAATAGTTATTGAAAAAGAATTATAACTTAAAAATTTATTTTAATTATACATTCTTTTAATATTCTTTAATATTCTGAATTGATTTAATATAGCGATATATTAAAATATATTAACAATATATATATATATATATATATATATATATATATATATATATATATA